CAGTGTTTCTAACTCTCTATCCTTCTCCCTTCCTCTCTGTAAAATAATCAAAAAAATATGTGGGTTTTTTAAAATGCTCTGGGCACATGAAAAGTTTGATTCCAATAGTACTACATTAAATGGTATAATCAAAAAATGAAATATACAAAAGACATGCACTACTTATACAAATGTACCAAGAGAGACTGAAAGGTTCACTACACAGATTGCTCTAGGAAGAATTCTTGCACAACAGGTAAGTTAGACTAGTTTACTGCTAGGTTTCATCTAAGAATCAAAAAGTTTTTACTGCAGTACCTCATTTAACTTAAAAAATGTATTCCTTAAAAAAAAAGAAAAAAGAAAAAAAGTACAAGGGGAAAAAAAGCCTTGCCAATGAAATCACTTTGTGATTATTTCTATAAGCAATAATTAGTCTAAGTGCATTTATCCTAATTTATTTTTAGTAAAAAAAATTTTAACTGTTTGAGATTGCTTAAAATAAAGTATACCTACCTACTACAGGGGGAAATGACTAAATTCCTCCTAGATAAAATGTGATCTATTTTCTTCAAAATAAAAACTCCTTTAGTACCTTAGAAAAATATGAAATAAGCAATCATAAAAGACACCTTGACAGTTTTTCTCCATTTCTTTGAACAGAGATGTATACTATCTCAAAATTATAACATCAGTTTTCTGTAACCTACCTATAGGGGATTTGAGGTCAATAAATTTCTTAACTAGAAGGTTCTCCACTGTGATAGGCTATTTATTACTAGTGAGCAAGGCACTGAGTTAAACAGCTAGGTATAAGTTTTTTCAAATATATAGGTACCAATATAATATTATGGTGGTGGTTGAATCTTGCTTATATGTTAAGTTCTCGAATCAGTTAATAAGGCAAAATAAGGAAAATTTCAATTAAATGAAAACAATTCAGCTATAGGAGCCCTCACTACAAGAAAAGCTAAAGGCAGTTCTTTACGCTGAAGGGACAAGACACTAAGACACTAAGTGGAAACTCTAATAAACATAAAGAACTCTAAATATGAAAAATATTTAAATAGAAGCTATATTTTTTCTTCAATTTTCTTTATAGGGCACGACTATTTAAAGCAAGAAATTATAACATTGCATTATGGAGGTAATTTTGTAAGTAATTGTAATTCAAGCATGTCAAAATCAAAGGCTAACACAAGCCAAATAAACAAGGTTTAAGTTTATGTGGGCTGCAAAAAAAAAAAGCTTCAATTTTCATAGAAACATAGGTTTATTTTGATAGAGACATGCTGAATACAAAAGGCTGAAATAAATGAATAATCATTCACATAAAATAGAACATTTTAATAAAAATTAATATTTTTTCTTGAATATTAACTTATCAGAAACTGAGTAATAGCACAAATTAATGAGTGTAATGCAAATAAACCTATTTTTCTTGTTCTCCGAAAGCAAAATATTTCCTTTTGCACACACCAAACAAGTCTGTCCAAGACTAGTGACATGGCAATCGGATGCTAAAGTATTTACTACTAGTATTACTGGAGAGAAATGGTGTGCCTGCATAAAGTGTGTAAGGGAAATGAATGCAACATGATGATAGTAATCAGTCATTAGCAAACGTTTTAGTTTTATTAATAATTATGTATAACAGGATATTGTAAAAATTAAGTCATGAATTTTTTTATCTTTTATTTATTTATTTGTTTGTTTGTTTGTTTATTACAGAGAGGAAGGGAGAGGGACAGAGAGCTAGAAACATCGGTGAGACAGAAACCCCGACCAGCTAGCTGCCTCCTGCACACCCCTTACCGGGTTGTGCCCGCAACCAACATACATGCCTTTGACCGGAATTGAGCCTTGGACCTTTCAGTTTGCAGGCTGACGCTCTATCCACTGAGCCAAACCGGTTTTGGCTTAGGAATTTTCTTGAAGCGAACAGGGCCCTCACTGTGCCGCTGCCAACGCCTCCATCGCCGCCTGGAAACATCCCTGTCTCACGACGGTCTAAACCCAGCTCACGTCCCCTATTAGTGGGTGAACAATCCAACGCTTGGTGAATTCTGCTTCACCATGATAGGAAGAACCGACATCGAAGGATCAAAAAGCGACGTCGCTATGAACGCTTGGCCGCCACAAGCCAGTTATCCCTGTGGTAACTTTTCTGACACCTCCTACATTGTTCCAACATGCCAGAGGCTGTTCACCTTGGAGACCTGCTGCGGATATGGGTACGGCCCGGCGTCAAGTCATGAAATTTTTATTAAAACGTTTCTTACATACCATTATATTGGCTTGGCCACAAAAATATTTGTTGTGGCCAAAACTGGTTTGGCTCAGTGGATAGAGCATCGGTCTTTGAACTGAAAGGTCCCAGGTTCGATTCTGGTCAAGGGCATTGGTTGCGGGCACATTCCCGATAGGAGATGTGCAGGAGGCAGCTGGTCGATGTTTCTCTCTCATTGATGTTTCTAGCTCTCTATCCCTCTCTCGTCCTCTCTGTAAAAAATCAATAAAATATATTTAAAAAAATATATATAGATATAGATATATTTGTTGTGGACTGCATAAGGGCCATGGGCTGCGAGTTTGACATGCTTGTAATATGATAAAGCAGCACAAAGGATGTAAGAATAAATGCATTACACTATTATAAGGTTCTTGCATTTTACAAGATACAATAAATATTAACTCTAAGTGGACTGTGATACACTAAGGTTGCAGTAGGTAATTTTTAAACCATAATTTTAAAAATTATATAAATATAATTTTCTTTCAAAAATAGAGAGAACATTGCACAACTCATTTTATGAAGCCAGCCTACTCTGACACCAAAGTTTGGGCAGTCTGACCTTGAAACTTACTTATGTCTGTCTACTCATTCAACAAATATTTTAATAGGTACCTTGTTCAGGGATTTCAACAACCTATGTCTTTTGCTTCTCGTCCAAAAGAGAAGGCTTTCTACGACTATTTCTTGCTAACTTTCCTCTCCACTGTGAGGGAATCATCACATTACTGAGGCCGATTTTATTACTAGTTATCCGTTTCTCAGATATTTTTCCTCTAGTCAGGCATTCCTCAGCTCAAAATAACTCTAATCCCCCCTCTGAAACATTCAAGAGGGACCTGTGAACTTCTTACCACTGAAGAGTTATTAAGGCTCCATGAGAGTCTGATGAATCCTATCACTTAAGGCTCTAATGGCAGCAGACAGTCTGGATTTAACCTTATCTGTGCTTAAATAATTTGCTTGTGTGTGTGACCTTGGGCAAATTATTTAATTTCTCAAAACTTCTATATCCTGTTCTATAAAATGGGGACAATAGTGGCCCCTGAAATGAAGCCATCCTCCTAAACACAGTATCTGCCACAAAAGTGGTCAGCAGCTCTGATCATCCTTACACAGGAATTTTTACTTTGACTTTTCCTTTCAACAAAATCTTCTCATTTTTCTCCTTATAACTGAAATATTGCAACCATACCACAATTGTTTATTATCTACAAGTATGCTGTCTCTTTCCCTGTGCCTGTAAAACAGACAGCTTAAAGTGCAAATACAGAAGAGAGAGAAGAGGAAGGAGACCAGAGAGAGGCAAGAGGCTACTTATAGTTAAACAGAATCACATTTCATAAGACAAATATCTATAATTTAAAACAAATTAATCTTGTAAACAAGGAACAAATTAATTTCAAAAACTTATTCATCAGAGGATTCCTTTTTAAATATGAAAAGGGCACAATGTAATTGATTTATTAAAATTAAACTTACAGGAAACTTTTAAGAAATATCTGCTCTATCAAGGTAAGTATACCACCATTGCGTCTAGAAATATTTCCCAATCAATCTTTACCTGAGAGGTTCATACCATCAGCATGTTACTCTCCTCTCTACAAACATAACAATGGCAACTGCTTGAGGAGAAATAGACAACTCAATTCAAAAGAAGCAGGTAAAGAAGACCCTTCAACAAATGAAGGAAGAGGATTCCTTTCTAGTTCTCCTGTTTGAGTATAACACCCACCGTAACAAATAGTAAACCAGGATTACTATTTGTAAGTTCTAGGTGTTGCTCAGGAAAAAGAAAGAAAACAACACGAGAGATAGCCTATTCAAGGTAAGGACAACTGCATACATGTCCATTTTCAGAGAAGGCTGAAGCCTCTGCAGTCCCAGACAAGGGAGGAGTCTGGACTGGAATCCTACTGAGAGTCCCCAGCTCAGGATCAGAGGGAGAAGGCCCACAGCAGCATGCACTGACCTTGCAGAGATACCTGGCAGATCCAAGAATTCACTACATGTTTTGTATATACTTTCATTTTACAGATGTTATTGACCTAGCCCACAGATAGGAAACCACTTTATTCTTAAATTTTGTGGTTACTGGGAAGAATTAAAGCAATCACATCAATATCAGGAGTTTAAAAAATATTTATCTAGCCGAAACCGGTTTGGCTCAGTGGTAGAGCGTCGGTCTGCGGACTGGGGGGTCCCGCGTTCGATTCCGGTCAGGGGCATGTTCGTTGGTTGCGGGCACATCCCCGGTAGGGGGTGTGCAAGAGGCAGCTGATTGATGACTCTCTCTCATCGATGTTTCTAACTCTCTCTCTCCCTTCCTCTCTGTAAAAAATCAATAAAATATATTTTTTTAAAAATATTTATCTAAATCTTAATTTTTGTCATTGTTTTGTAAAGTAAATGGAAATGCAAAATTGATGATGCAAAATTGATAATACAAATATTCTTCAATCTGTATCTTTAGATTTGTATATTTTGCTATATTTAACACATATCTCAATGAAAAAAATTAAAATTAAAATATAAATGTCTCAATTAGATATTTTACTTCAAAGGACAATTATTTTTCTCTCTAGTTTTTGTGTCCCTTTAAATTTAATGCACCTCTTATATAACAGGAAAGACTTAAATCTAACATTTGACTAAATCTGACTCTAACAAAGTAAAAATCTATACATTGGGCCACTTTGATAATTTCCTTCTCTAGGGCGTAACTTACCACTGGAAGTGTGAGCCAGGTTGCCACAAGGCGGTTGTTGATCCAGCGATACCAGGATGGGCTTATAAACATCAAAGGCAAAAAGGGACCCAGCATGAAGATGCTTCCAAAAAAGCTTCCCCAAAACAGAGTGAGTATGAAGTAAATCCCTTTCCATGACACCCTCATTCTGAAAGACATAAAAGGAAAGGTATATTTCATTACTATATATGTAATTGCTCAAATTCAATCTCAGAGTGATATATATAATAACCTTTAATGAGAGGGCTACAGTAAGCATGCAAACTCAAAGGCTAAATAAACAAGGTTTAAATTTAAGTTGGCTGAAGGGGGGGAAAAAAAGCTTCGATTTTCATAGGAATGTAGGTTTATTTCAATAGAGACATGCTGAATACAAAGGGCTGAAATAAATGAGTAATCTGTTCACATAAAATAGAACCTTTTAATAAAAATTAATATTTTTTCTTGAACACTAACTTACCAGAAACTGAATAACTGCACTAATAAGCATAATACCAATAAACCTACTTTTCTTGTTCTTTGAAAGCGAAATATTTCCTGTTGCACACATCAAACAAGTCAGTCCAAGACTAATGACGTGGCAATTGGCTGCTAAAATATTGGAGAAATGGTGCGCCTGCGCATAAGGCGCGTAAGGGAAATGAATGCAATATGATTATAATAATCAGTCATTGGCAAACGTTGTAGTTCATTATTAATAATTCTATATAATAAAGATGTGACATGCAAATTGACCATCATGCCCTCACAAGATGGCTGCCTATAAGCAGACTGTCAGGGGGTTAGTGATGGACAACCAGACACTGAACAGCAGGCTGTGTGGAGCATCCAGGCCGACGGGAGGGGCATGAGGGGCATCCAGGCTGACAGGAGGGGCCAGCAGGGGGAGAGGGACAGTTAGAGGCAACCAGGCTGCTGGGGGTGGGGGCAATTAGGGGTGATCAGGCCCACATGCAGAGGCAGTGAGGGGCAATCATGCCAGAAGGGAGGCGAGTGGGGAGGAAGGAAGAGTTACGGGTGACCAAACAAGCAGGCAGGTGAGCAATTATGAGCTAATGGCCAGGATTGTGAGAGGAATGTCCGACTGCAGTTTAAGCCCAATGCCTGGGACATCCCCCGAGGGATCCCGGACTGGATAGGGTGCAGGCAGAGCAGAGGGACACCTGCCCCCCGCCCCCCCACACGAATTTTGTGCACCAGGCCTCTAGTCTTTACTAATAAATGGGTAATATGCTAATTAGAACTTCCTGACATCCTTCCAAAGCCATGGTGGCAGGGCCAAGGAGAAATAGATAACTCAATTCAAAAGACGTTGGGGTGATCAGGCCAGGAGGGGAGGGCAGTTGGGGGTGATCAGGCCGGCAAGGAGGCAGTTGGGACAAGCAGGCCAGCAGGGGGGCCAGTTGAGGGCGAGCAGTCTGGCAGAGGGGAGAAGTTGGGGGCAATCAGGCCAGCAAGGTGGAGGCAGTTGGGGGTGAGCAGGCCAGCAAAAGGGGGGGGGGGAGCAGTAGGTGATAAGCAGGCCAGTAGAGTGGTTAGGGGTGATCAGGCAGGCAGGCAGGCAGGCAGGTGAGCAGTTAGGAACCAGCAGTCCTGGATTGCAAGAGGGATGTCCAACTACCCAAGGGATCCCAGATTGAAGAAGGTGCAGGCAGGGCTGAGGGCCCCCCCCAGCCCTTGCCTCATGGTACAAATTTTACTGGGCCACTAGTTTTATATGAGACTTGAGATCCTCAAATTTTTATATCCACAAGGGTCCAAAGAACTAATACCCTTGGGTACTGAGGGACAGCTGTACTTTCATGAGTCCTCATAACCGGAAGAACATAATACTGATATTTTAAACTAAACTGTTGGAAGCATAGTCTAAAATAATGAGACATTTGATTTTACAACCTAAACTATATTAGAGAAAATATATGGTTTATCTCAGGATAATAAAGCTATTGGAAAAATTATTAAACTATGAAAATGATAATGGCCTGAAATGTATGTTAAAAAAAGATATTCCAGTGGTCAAGACCTCTGAATATTTTAAAATAATCACAACAGGAAACAAATACTATTTCAAATGTCATAGTGCTTTAAAAATGTCAGACAAACAATGAAACAGGTCAAATCCCTTAATACAAAATCAAGTTTACCTGGATAATATATTACCAAATCTCTACCAATACTTACAGCTTAATGACATATGTACAAAATGGTTCAAAGTACAAATAGAATAAGACCATAAGTGCTTAACAATTTGTTTACACAGGACCAAGAATTGTCTGTGTTCCTACCACCCTCAGCTTTGCTTCCTGAGACTCTGGCTTCTTTGGATTAAAAGCATTGTAGATGTACCTCTATAATGTCATGGACCTGGAGAGCAATATGCTAGGCAAAATAAGCCAGTCAGAGAAAGGTGAGGATCACATGATCCCTCTCATATGTGAAATCTAATGAACAACATAATCTGATAAACAAAAATAGACCCAGACACATAGAAGCATGGGACAAACTGTCAAACCTCAAGAGAGAAGCCAGGGGAGGGTGGGTGTAAGAGATCAACCAAAGAACTTGTATGCAATAAGCAAAACCAATGGACACTATAAGGGGTCCAGGGTGAGAGAGTTCAATGGGGGAAAAAAAGGAAACATATGTAATAATTTCAATAACATATGTAATAATTTCAAAACAAAGATTAAAACAAAAACAGAAAAAGACATAGGCTGCTTCTCTCCAATCTTTAGTAGAAACAGAAAAGGGACAGAACTTTTTCTTTTTAATTCATGTACTATTATATTAGCCTAATTTTAATAAAGGATAAACATGCATTACTTTATAATTTAAAATGTTTTAATTATAAAAACTTTAAGAACATAATTAATCCAGATTAAAATTACTTTTGTTCTAATTCCAAATTAAATACTATCAGGAAAAAAAAAAAACAACCCTTGAGAATCAGCTGAGACAAATATATGAGACAAGTTTATGAGTTTCCCAATACTAGTCCAAAATAAATAAGCAGTACGTTGGTTTTGATTCAGATGCCAAAATCAAATACGTATAATAAAAGTGTAAAGACGAAGATCAATTGTTGCTTATGAGATAACTAGAGACCCGGTGCACATATTTGTGTACCAGTGAAGTATCTCAGCCTATCCTGTGGGGCCAAAACTGGCTCTCCGATATCCCCCAAGGGGGGGTCCCAGATTTCAAGAGGGCACTTCTCAGGTGATGCCCCCCAGAATCGGGCTCCCTCCTCTCAGGTTCCAGTGCATCACCCGAGAACCACAGCTGCCAAGTCACAGCAGCTTGGAGCTCCTGCATTGAGCATCTGCCCCCTTGTGGTCAGTGCACGTCATAGCTATTGGTCAGAGCTTCTACCAACAGGTAATCATTGCATGTCATAGCTACTGGTAAGACGGTTAGGCTTTTATATAGATATTAAAGACCCAGTGCACAAATTCATGCATGGGTGGGGTCCCTCTGGGTGCTCTGCAGGGATTGGGCCAAAACCTACAGTCCAATACCGCCTGCATCTCCTACCTGCCGCTCCAGCTCATCGCAGCCCCACTGTGCCTGCCATGGGCTCGCACCCAATCAGTCCTGATCAGGAGATGCTTGTGCCGCTGCAACAGTGCTCACCAGCCATGAGCCCTGCATCTTATGGCAGCCATCTTGTGACAATGTTGCACGAGGGCATGACATGAGGACAAGACGCCACCTCGGCTTTTATTATATAGGGTAGATTACTGCAAAATGATGATAGAAATGAAAATAAAAATGTTTTAACATACAGCTAAAATAATCACAGTTTGATTGAGATTCCACAATGTAAAAGAATTTAACTGTGTTCATTAATTAAGTAATTTAAGTCAAATGCTTTTTGTGTACTAGTCTTATAAACTAGATGAATATAAGTGAAATACTTATGAACTAATTAATTTCTTTCAAACCCAATGCATTTTTTATTTATTTTTAAAATATATTTTATTGATTTTTTTGAGAGAGGAAGGGAGAGGGATAGAGTTAGAAATATCGATGAGAGGAGAATCCAAGATGGTGACATAGGTAACAACTAACTGCAGCCTCACACAGCAATTTCAATAAAATACAACTAAAATACAAAATGGACATTACCCAGAACTACAGGAAAGTCAACTGACTGGAAATTCTACAATGAGAAGGAAAAACAAAACCAGAAGGAAAATCAGAGGAGCTGTAAAAGCATAAGGTACAGAGACACGTTGCATGCGCAGAGAGGACGGAGCCAGAGAGGAAGGGCGGCCGAGTGCTTGCTTGGCGTTCCCTAGCGGGAAGGAGATAAAAGCTCCGGACTGTGCTGAACCCCAGATCCGACAGCACTGAACCCCAGTTTTAGGCTAGACCCTGGGAACCCAGGCTCATACAGAGGGAGCCTGGGCTGTTAGGCGGAATCTCAGGGGAGCAGCAAAAGGCAGAGCCCCCGGAGGTGCGCACATTGCGCGCAAAGGACAGACTGTTGACTCTGCTGCTAGATTGCCCTAGCGGGAAGGAGACAAAAGCTCCAGACTGTGCTGAGCCCCGGTTCCGACTGCACTGAACCCCAGCTCTAGACCAGACCCTGGGGACCCAGGCTCATACAGAGGGAGCTTGGGCTGTAAGGCAGAACCCCAGGAGAACGGTGAAAGGCAGTCCCGGAGGCACGCACATTGCTCACAGAGAACGGGTGGTTGACTGTGCCACTGGACTGGCCTAGCAGGAAGGAGACAAAAGCTCCAGATTGCTCTGAACCCCACTTCCAACTGAACTGAACCCCAGTTCCGGGCTCATTGGGGGAGAGCCTAGACTGTATGGTAGCGTGTGAAACTCGAGGGCACCTTACTCTCAGAGGTGCTTACAACCAGTACTGAAGGACCCTGAGGAATACTGAGACTCAGGAGCCTCATGGGGCGGGGCTGACGGAAGCCAAGGCTGTAGGCCCCACCCTGAAACTCCGCCCCATCCAAGCTGAACACAGAGACTTTTAAGGCTACCAACTCAGGGAAGCTGCGAAAATGCCAAGACAAGGAAACAGATCACAAATGAAAGAAATGGAGGACAAAAAGCGACTGGATATAGAGTTCAAAACCACGCTTATAAGGTTTTTCAAGAATTTCCTAGAAAAGGCCGATAAATTA